GCAAAACAATAAGACAAGTAGCAACGGCGTGATAAGTGACTGTTTTTCTCCTGTTTATTCAGCACTTACGCTGCACTTTTTGATATTCATCTCTCCTGTGCCTGCAGCTTTGCTGTACTCATGTCAGGATTTTTATCCTCCTGAAGCAACTTGAATCACTGACAGTAGGTGAAGGAGTGCAGCCTCTTGAGAAACAAACTGCACTGAGTACTTCCAGTGCTGTGTGCATGCACGCATGCGTGTGCGTCTGTGTGTATGTACACGTGTGCTTTTCAGGGCTGTGCTGAGCCGTACCAGGACCTAAACAGTCACGGTATCGTCTCTGCTTCTTTGCTTCCACAAAATACGGAGCAACATGACCGCAGAGGATGCTATTTTTCCTATTTTTCCTCTTACTCCTCTCTTACTTTCTTTCTTCTTTCTGTTTCTTTCACAACATTGCTGCTTCTTTTTCCTTCAGCTCCAGAATAAGCGCTGCTTTCCGCTCTTATCTTCAGACACGAAATATGATTTAAAAACAATTTTCTTAAGTGAGAAAGACCCACGGGGCCGTGAATAAGACAATCAGTGCACTGTCAGCACCATGACTGGATTAACTCAAAAGAGGGCAAAAGTTTACTTTCTCAACACTTTATCACAAGCAGGGTCCTCATGTATGCACCCGATGTTTTAAATGAGATCAATGGTATGCTATTTAGGACAAACAGAAGAAGTCATAATTTTAAAGTGAGATTTAAATTGGATTTGCAAAATGCTCAAATATTCTCGTGCGCTTGGCAATAAAGTTCTGAAATATTTTATGGGGTTTTTTTTCTGGAAAGAAAAAGAAGGGGGGGGAGATATTTATGTAACATATGCAAATGGGTCTGGGACAGTCGTGGTAACAAGAAAGTACACCCTCTGTCAATTCTAAAGTTTTACATATCAGGACCTAATAAAAGATTATCTCGTCCTTACCAGCTCTGAAAATTAGGTAAATAATTTGGTGCACAGAGAAGTTCATGTTCAACTCAATAACTGTGAGGTATCCAGGTCCTGTGTCTTCAAAACAAGCCCAAATCATCACCACTCCACCACTGTGCCTGACACTCGGTATGAGGTGTTTGTGCTGGTATGCTGTGTTTGGTTTTTTCAAATATGCCGCTGTGCATTATAGCCAAACATCTCCACTTTGGTTTCATCTGTCTGTTTGTTCAGATGAAAGTTTGCAGACCTAAGCTGTGTTATTTTTAGGGAAGATGCTTTCTCCTTGCAACCCTACCAAACAAGCCATACTTGTTCAGTTTTCTTCTAATTGTGCTTTTATGAACTTTAACCGTTGCTAACCGAGGTTTGTAGAGTCTGAGATGTAGCTCCTGGTTAAGTTTTTCTGAGTATTGGACGGTCTGACCTTGGGGTGAATTTGCCAGAACAGCCACTCCTAGGAAGACTGTGGCATTATGTTGATACACAGCTGAAAGCTCTGGTTTTATAGAGGCGCTCACACTTGCTGATGCAAGCGCCTCTATAAACATACACATGGCTGCTACTCAGCCTTTTAATTCCTAAGCGTGTACTTAGTTTTCCACACACTATATCTGCGTTTTGGCTTAATATTTTTTAAATAAATAATGACACACAGTAATATGTCATGTTTTTTAGTTCATCTGAGGTTGTATTTTTACCT